ACCCAGAACCTTTTGGTTCTTGTTCCTGGTCTGCCACCACCTTACTGTGGGAATGAGGTATCCTATTCAACCCCTCAAAGGGAAGAAAAACAAAAAAAAATTGGGCACCTTAAACCCTAAACCCTAAATCCCTCACTCCCTACTAACCAACAATAAGCCACTGTAACTTTGCCGCGCGCAGGCTTTCCAGAGACTCGGTGGGACCGGGCACCGACTCTCCACCGCTGAAGCTGGCTTCCAATTTCCTAGGGTGGAGCTTTGGGTTTAGGGTTTAGGGTTTAGGGTTTAGGGTTTAGGGTTTAGGGTTTAGGGTTTAGGGTTTAGGGTTTAGGGTTTAGGGTTTAGGGTTTAGGGTTTAGGGTTTAGGGTTTAGGGTTTAGGGTTTAGGGTTTAGGGTTTCGGGGGGAAGAGGGGAGGTTGGGGGGGCGCTACAAAAGTGAAACTTCTAGAGCGTTGGAAGGGCTATATGTGTAGAAAAAATATGTACACATATATATATATATATACATATAAATATATATGTATATGTACTGGGTGATAGACATATACATGCGAAGCATGAGGATACTTAGGGGGATCATTGAAAAGTAGCAAAGAGCTCTGAAATAAGCCCCCTAAACCCTAAACCCTAAACCCTAAACCCTAAACCCTAAACCCTAAACCCTAAACCCTAAACCTCTGAATAAGCCCCCCCAAGTCTCAAGGTCAAGTTGTGGGAGCTCAGCTTCGCCGTTGCGCTGGATCCACCTCCTGCGCCGAAGAGGCCGCCTCTCCCAAAGGAGAGCTCCACCGTCTTCTCGATTTCCTACTTGGTTGGGGTTTAGGGTTTAGGGTTTAGGGTTTAGGGTTTAGGGTTTAGGGTTTAGGGTTTGGGGTTTAGGGTTTAGGGTTTAGGGTTTAGGGTTTAGGGTTCAGGGTTTGGTGCACACTTTCAGTTTTGCATAGGGGGGCTACGGTATCCCAAGAAGTGTAAAGGGTACTCACTCAGCTACGAGGTCCTTTAAGCTGGCGGAGGTCTCGGAGGAGAAGGTGCAGAGCGCGAGGAAGCGGTGGCCATAGACCAGGCCCTTGACCTTGCTGTTGGTTAGTAGGGAATCAGGGAATGGGGCATCCTCTTGAACCCCTTATGAACCCCTGAAAGGGTATATATCGGGGGATATAGGGTACCTCACTCCCACATTCCCTACTACTCAACAGTAAGTGACATAGTGCTTGCCGTAGGTCCTCACAAACTGCTGGGGGCTGGTGAGGAGGAGGCCTCGGGCGCCCCTGGTGAGTTTCAGCCTCGGTCTCCTTGTCAGCCGCATCTTCGTGCTGGTCCCTGCAGCATAGGTCATGTACGTCAGAGACAGGGATGAGAACTTCGAGTCCATCATCGCCTGTGCGCTCGCAGCCGTGTGCACGCCCCAGGCGCTTCCTTCCATCTTCGCAACGATCCGCGCAGAGTCGCTGGCGTCGTCCAGCGACTTGATGACCTGGGTCGTGTCCTGCGCTTCGACGCTGAGTGGCAGGGAATCCCAACACGCATCTTCATCGCCGGGCAAGCCTTGGCATTCCTGGACCACGACTCCGACCGCGGCATCTGCGCAAGACTTGCTGGGGTGGAAGCCTTGGCCGAGTTCGCAGGAGGAGCCCGCCGGGACGATGGAACCGTGCTCTTTCTGGGCGCCTGCACCCAAGAATATAGCAACGCGAGTAGCAAAGTAAGATTATACTGATCCAAGCTATATCAAGGGAAATATAGCCATACAATGTAATATACGAAAATATTGTCATATAACAAATAAAGCAATATGTGCGATAGAGTACTATCTGAAAAGTAGAAACAAAAAAAAGGAACCTGGTGGTGATAGTGCTGTAACAGATCGTGAGCCCTGACCCTAGCCTAAACCGTAAATCACTTCTTCTTCTTTTTCTTCTTCTTCTTCTTCTTATTCTTCTTCTTCTTCTAACAACAACAAGCTTTAAGCAACAGCCGACGACGAGCACGAAAGTTCGGTGGGCGGCGGGCAAGGCCCACACACACCTGCTACTCTTCCTTGTTGCAGGCAGGTCCAGGCCCGACCGCCCACAAAACTCGCAACTCGTGGGCACAGGCGCACAAATGCGGTTTAGGGTTTAGGGTTTAGGGTTTAGGGTTTAGGGTTTAGGGTTTAGGGTTTAGAGTTTAGGGTTTAGGGTTTAGGGTTTAGGGTTTGGAGTAAATTCTTGGGCACAGGCACAAAGATTCGGGATAGGCGGGCCCCTTCGTGGGCTTCGCATATGACAAATCCTTCAAGGCTGGGACCCAACTTTTGCAGCTTCTGTGCCATCTCACAACAAGCCCTAAACCCCAAACCCTAAACCCTAAACCCCAAACCCTAAACCCTAAACCCTAAACCCCAAACCCTAAACCCTAAACCCGAATTTGGAGGCCCGGACTCGCCTCGGGCACGCGCGGCCTCACCAAAGGCAGCTGTGGCACAGAAGATGGCGAAGATGAGAACCATTGCTTGGGGTTTAGGGTTTAGGGTTTAGGGTTTAGGGTTTAGGGTTGAGGGTTTAGGGTTTAGGGTTGAGGGTTGAGGGTTTAGGGTTTAGGGTTTAGGGTTGAGGGTTGAGGGTTGAGGGTTGAGGGTTTAGGGTTTAGGGTTGAGGGTTTAGGGTTTAGGGTTTAGGGTTGAGGGTTGAGGGTTGAGGGTTGAGGGTTGAGGGTTGAGGGCTTGGGGCCTGGGGTTTCGGGTTAAGGCTTGGGGGGTTTAGGGTTGAGGGCTTGGGGTTTGGGGATTTAGTCTGGGCTTATTCAATATCATGTACAATCAGAGAAGCAAAGGCGAGTGTCTAGCAAACGACGTTTAGCAACGGCAGCTGCCGAGCCAACCTACGGCAAGCAGACATCCCAGCGTCGAAGAAACGAGCGGCAGACGTCACAAGCGATAGCGGAGCTTCCCAAAACGAGGGGTGGCAATTATGCCAAAGCAGCTGTCCAAGAGCAAGAAGTTTCAAAGTCATGGGCGAGTAGCCCCGTGACAGAGTAGTGTAGGTCGGATCCTCACAATTTCAGCCAGCTTTCCTCTCAGGTTGAGAACACCCTGTAAACCCAAACCCTAAACCCCAAACCCTGAACCCTAGACCCTAAACACAGCTTGCAGTGGAAAGAAGCACTACTTTGCACATTGTGAGGAGCATGGAACCGTATGAAAGCATAAGCTGAGGAGTCAAGAGCCTTGAGCCTGCGGCCTGATTTGGAGTTTAGGTCTTAGGGTTCAGGGTTTCGTTGAAGGTTTAGGGTTTAGGGTTTAGGGTTTAGGGTATAGGGTTTAGGGTTTAGGGTTTAGGGTTTAGGGTTTAGGGTCTAGGGTTCAGGGTTTAGGGTTTAGGGTTTAGGGTTTAGGGCCTGATTTGGAGTTAGGGCTTAGGGACTTAGCGTGGCGTCGGCAAGTCTCTTTTGAGAAGAGGCTCGCTCGATAGAACCTTCGTGCAAATTGAAGGCGCGCATAGCTTTCTGAGCTTGCCAATAGGCCTGTATACCTACGCCATAAGGGTCTCTCTGTTTCTCTCTCTCTCTCTCTCTCTCTCTCTCTCTCTGATCTACACACGCGATGGCTTGGGGATTTCTTTTGTGCAGACTTAGGGCAGCTTCAGCGTGCTTAGGTTTCAGCGGTTAAGGCTAAGGGGGAGGGTGTTGCAAGCTCGGGTGTAGTAGGTGGCAAGCACCCAGGGCCGAGGCATCATGAAATGCACTGCTCTACTTAACCCGAACCCAAAACCCTAAACCCTAAACCCTAAACCCTAAGCCCTAAACCCTAAGCCCGCGTCATTGGAGAACAGCCGTTGCTCTGCACCCCTTTTTTCGCACTCTTGGCCTCTGCCCTGCCGATTGCCGAGTCTCTGTATGTCAAGATGCTGAATTGTGGGCATGGTCATCATCATCATCATCATCATCATCATCATCATCACCCTAAACCCTAAACCCTAAACCCTAAACCCCAAACCTAAACCCTAAACCCTGAACCCTAAACCCTAAACCCTAAACCTCCAGAAGATAACAGCAACCAACAACCGAAGCACGGAGGAAAAAGCATCCTCGGGAGCTCGCGTCATCGGCGCGAGGAGGGCTGCGCCTGTCATGGGTCTGATGAGGGCTTAGGGGTTAGGGTCCGGGGTTTAGGGTGTAGGGTGTAGGGTTTAGGGTTTAGGGTTTAGGGTTTAGGGTTTAGGGTTTAGGGTTTAGGGTTTAGGGTTTAGGGTTTAGGCTCAGCATCAGGGACAAGAGGCGATGGGCAGGTTCTGAGCGGCCCACACGCATGATGCTGCCCGCTTGTGCACGGGGTGCTTCCCCTTTTTCGCTCACGTCGAATGCCTTGAAAGAGCAGAAGTTCAGAAGGCTGCACATTGCTCAGGAAGGTTTGTCGGCAGTTCTCAGCTCAATGGCTTCCGAAAAATTCCGGACGGGAACTGGCTAAGGCAAACCGTGAAACCAAAAATGAAAATCTGCTTATCGTGTGGGTCCAAAAGTTCTCCCCTGTGACTGCAGTACCGCACTCTGTGCTGGGCTGCCCGGAGATACACGAGTAGGCTGTGCACAGGAGCCAAACACTCCGTGCGGACCGGAGTGAAAAGGCGAAGAAGGCCTCCTTAGCGAGACCCGCTAAACTTCACTCTACTCTACTCCACTAGACTACCCGAAACGATACGGTACCGAAGGCTATACCGTGCTATAGCAGACCAGACTCTGCTCTACCTCCACTATCGTATTGTATCGTACACGACAGTGTACGATACACATTCTGTAACATAAGAAGATTATACTCTACTATGACTATGCTATTGCTACAAGCTGTACTACACTACGCTTAACTATACCATGCTCTACTATACCATGCTCAGGGGTTGAACGCCCCTAAACGAAGATGTGGCTGACGGGATCGCACAGATCCTGCGGTTGGACCACAACCCCCCCCCCCCTTTCGTTTACCTGGCTGAGCTGCACACTGCACAAGAGCTCCACTCCGTGCTGGGCTGCCCGAAGACCAGAATAAGAGGGAGGAAAGAGGATCTTACGGTTGCAAGTTCCAGGCCTTCTTACGACGGCTGCTCCCGAAGCCACCTGTTTCCGACCGCCCAGGTGCAACCACAAAAGATGCAGCCCATGATGCCGTACGCAACGTGCATAGCAGACTTTGCAACGGTCTCCGTTATGCGTTGCAGGCGTTGGGGCTGGTTTGTCGGCAGTTCTCAACTGGATGGCTTATACAAAGCTCCGGACGAGAGAACTGGCTTGGGCATTGAAAAAATTATGTGGACGACCCTGTTGGCGTCTGCGACATGTTTGGTTCAAAGAACTCGGCAAGCTCTCAGGCCAGATGAAGCTGAGATGCAGATGCAACCATTAACCCCCGTCATGTACTCTGGCATGGTCTATTTCCTCCTCTGTTCCGCAACTCCAAGCTAGAACTACTACAGCACCTTCTACAATATATGTTAAACATGGAAGCCTGTATTGAGAGCCCGCATCAAACCAGGGCGCTTTTTGTCCTGTGACTGCAGTCCGCACTCTGTGCTGGACTACCCGGAAATACAAGAGTAGGTTGTGCACACGAGCCAAACGCTCCGTTCCGTGCAGACCAGAATGCGAGGGCGAAGAAGGCCTACCTAGAGCATGCTAATCTATACTATACTATACTACACTATACTTTGTACATTATACTGTACTGTACTGTACTGTACTATGCTGTGCTATACTATACCTATAATAAACTAAACTCTACAATACTATACTGTACTATACTATACTATACTGTACTATACTGTACTATGTTATACTCTACTCGACATACTCGACTAGACTCGTACCATACTGTACTTTGCTATACCAGACAATACTCTACCTTTCTGCACTATCGCATTGTATCGTGCACGATAGTGTACGAAAAGACAAAAGAGTACCATACCATTACTATACTCCATTCTTCCTATGACATTACTCTAGACTGCACTACACTACACTACACTACCCTATGCTAAACTTTGCCATGCTCTAGTATACCATGAACGCCCTAAACGAAGATGTGGCTGATGGGATCACACAGATCTTGCGGCTAGACCACAACCCCCCCCCCCCTCTTTTTCCTGGCTGAGCTGCACACTGCACAAGAGCTTCACTCCGTGCTGGGCCGCCCGAAACCAGAATAAGAGGGAGGAAAAGAAGAACGGATCTTGCGGTTGCGAGGCCCAGGCCCCCTTACGCCTGGCTGCTCCCGAAGCCCACCTGTTTCCGAGCGCTCTCGGTCGCAGATCTTCGGCTGGTCCGCACATGAAAGCAAAAGATGCAGCCCATGATGCCGTACGCAACGTGCATAGCAGACTTTGCAACGGTCTCCGTTATGCGTTGCAGGCGTTGGGGCTGGTTTGTCGGCAGTTCTCAGCTGGATGGCCTATATAAAGCTCCGAACGAGAGAAAGGCATTGTGAAAAATATATGGACGACCCTGTTGGCGTCTGCGACATGTTTGGTTCAAAGAACTCGGCAAGCTCTCAGGCCAGATGAAGCTGAGATGCAGATGCAACCATTAACCCCCATCATGCTCGTACGCTAGCATGGTCCAGTTCCTCCGCTGTTCCGCAACTCCAAACTAGAACTACTACAGCACCTTCTACAATATACTCTAAACATGCAAGCCTGGATTGAGAGCCCGCATCAAACCAGGGCGCTTGTCCCTGTGACTGCAGTCCGCACTCTGTGCAGACCCGAATGCGAAGGCGAAGAAGGCCTACCTCGAGCATGCTAATCTATTCTATACAATGCTATACAGTACTATACAATACAATACTATGCTGTACTGTACTGCGCTGCGCTGCGCTGCGCTGTGCTGTGCTATACTATACCTATACTAAACCAAACTATACAATACTATACTCCACTATACTGTACTATACTGTACTATACTATACTCTACTCGACTAGACTCGTACTGTACTATACTTTGCTACACCAGACAATACTCTACCTTTCTCCACTATCGTATTGTATCGTGCACGATAGTGTACGAAAAGACAAAAGAGTACCATACCATTACTATCCTCCATTCTTCCTATGACATTACTCTAGACTGCACTACACCACACACTACACTGCCCTATGCTAAACTATCCATGCTCTAGTATACCATGCTCAGGGGTTAACGCCCCTAAACGAAGATGTCGCTGATGGGATCACACAGATCTGGCGGTTGGACCACAACCCCCCCCCTCTTTTTCCTGGCTGAGCTGCACACTGCACAAGAGCTCCACTCCGTGCTGGGCCGCCCGAAGACCAGAATCAGAGGGAGGAAAAGAAGAACGGATCTTGCGGTTGCGAGGCCCAGGCCCCCTTACGCCTGGCTGCCCCCGAAGCCCACCTGTTTCCGAGCGCTCTCGGTCGCAGATCTTCGGCTGGTCCGCAGATGACAGCATACTGCCGCCCAGGTGCAACCACAAAACATGCAGCCCATGATGCCGTACGCAATGAACATCACAGGAAGCTGATCCGTGTGGTCGACCTGGTCGGGAATCTTGTAGAGATCCCTGATGGTTTCAAGCTCCGCAATCAGGCTATCCCGACTCACCAACATGGAAGCCACGTCGTTCTCCAGCGAGTTCTTGAGTTTCGAGAACGCCGACTCCACTTTGGCCCATTGGGCCAACAAGTCAGGTCTCTGTGGCACAATGGGGGGGAGACCACTTCCTCCCAGGTTCAAGTCTTGCTGGAGTTGCATGAACTCTGACATGGTTTTGTAGGAAGCTTCCTTCGAAGTCAGGTGGCCGTAGCTGAACATCACGGCCTCGCGCACGGCCTTCTGTGCGAGCAAGATCTGCCGGCAGGCGGCGTCCACGCGGGAGGCAGGGACGCCGGGGTGGGCTCTTGTGGCCTCGGCAAGGTAAAGGTCTTGGGCCGAGTTCAGAGCTGTGATGACCTCCAGGCTCTTCAGGACCGCGGTGGTGTCGCTTCCACCACTTTCAGGCCGCAACGACTCGGCAAACGCAAGGACGGGAGGCTCAACGGTCTCAACGAGCTTCTCAAAGATTGCCTGAGTTGAAGGGGCCGGGAGCGTGTACGACCCGTACAAGATGCCCTGGAGCTTCTGCAAGACCTTCTCCTTGACAGCCAAGATGGCGGTTTCCGCAGAGCCTGCTGAAGAGGAGATAAGGTACATGGTGCAAGCTTCTTGGCTAAAGGCACGCAAGTCTCCGATCGCAACAACCATCTCGAGCCAACTGTCAGCAGTGAGAGAGTCGTTCTGGCAGGGCAGAATGTCGCTGCTCACAAGGGACCGGGCAATCGAGCTTGTGAGCTCGTACATGGTCCTGGTTGACAAGCTCAACATCTCCAGAGCTTTGCGGCTTCCAGCCATTGCCGCCTCACTCTCCTGGAGGTAGGAGCCGAAGCTGCGATGGACCTTCAGCATCTGCTGGACTCCGCAAACGGAAGACAATCTCATCCGTGCCGGCTTTCCATCAGCCGGCGGAGAACCCATGAGGATCGACCGGTGGCCTTTCAGGAACGCATCCCGCGTGGAGTTGAAGAGCACGCGGTTGCTTTCAGCGATCTCCGCGTTGCCCCCGTGACCCTCCTTGGCCTCAGCAAAGATCAGGTTCACCTGCGTGGTCATCTTGGCCAGCAGAACGGACTGAAGCGGGGCCTCAGAGACTGCCTGGATGTCTTCAGGGAAGTCGCCTTCGAGGCTGAGCGCTTGTTCCACGAGGCGAGCCCTCACCGCCTCTAACTTGTCCTGAAATTCCTGGGAGAGCGAGGACACCCTCCTGGCCGCCGAAACCGGGATCTCGGTGGAAGTTATGGCCCTCCGCAAGTCCTCCTCCAGTGGCTCCCACAAAGACTTCGCGTCGCGGAGGTCATCCAGGAGCGACTGGGTGGGGGGAGCCTCGATGCTCTCCGCCTTGTTGCCCTCAATCAAGTTGGTTAGGCTTGTGGAGATGGTGCTCACCCCAACAATGAGGTCGACGATGCTCTGCTGGACGGCCACAACGTTGGAGAGCTCCAAGAAGTGGGCGACGGTCATCTGCGAGTCGGCCATGACAGTGGCTGTAGTCAGGATCCGGATCCGCCAGCTGGAGGCCGTCATGGAATCTAAGGGGTTGCAGGTCCCTGGGTCGTTGACATAGAGGCTCACTGCCGCCACCATGGCACTGAAAAGGGGCCCGCTCCTTTCTTCGAGCTCTTGTGCAAGGCGATGCGCGGTCTCGATGTTCTGCTGAACTGGCAGTGCAGGTGAGACCTCCGAAATCAGAGAGGCGAAGAGGTCGTAGTAGTAAGTGACCCTGCTCATCTCATGCATGGTGCACACCTTCACTAAAGGAGGCACGCCGGCCCAATCAGCGCCCCGCATGATGCCCTTGTGGGAGGAGTAGAACAGCTTCTGATCCGCTGCCAGCGAGCTCACGGCCGAAGTCACGTGCACACCCGAGGCGATCAGAAAGGCATTCTTACACATGCGCTGGATGAGCATCCGCTGGCGGCCGGCAAGGTCCACCACGAAGCCGTTCGTCTGCATGTTGGCGGACCTTGCGGCCTGAGCCAGATTCCCAACCACGATGTTGGCCTGCACAAGGAGCGGTTCGTTGCCGGCAGCCACATCTTTAAGAACCTTCACCTTCGCTTGACCAGCGAAGTCTCGAACATGATCCACGTTGCTTAGCAGCACGTCGGCAAACGGGACCCAGCGGTTCACCACATCTTGTAGGTTGCTGGCCACAAGATCATTCGGCGGTCTGGAGATGTTGCGTTCCTCGTTGCCATGGATCATGTCATTCAGGCTGTCGTTGAATAGCTTGATGCTTCCGTGCAGTTTCTTCTTGTTCCCTTCAGGATCAAGGCCTAAAGAAACCAAAACAAACTCTTTGGACATTCGCTGAGAGAGCATTCGCTGACGTCCTGCAACATCGATGGTGTTCCCCAAGTCCGCACCGGTGAGGCTGAGGAGAGAGGACAAGCAAAGAGCTTTTAAAATGCACGTCGACGACATGGCGTTTCACTGGACGATGCTGCTATCCGCGCTTCAAATTGTAAAAATTGCTGCGGGCTCAGGGATCAATCGCATGCTGGATGCCCATAAGCCACCATCACGATAAGAAGAGCAGTCATTGCAAGAAGAAGAAGAGGTAGTAGTAGTAGTAGTAGTAGTAGTAGTAGTAGTAGTAGTAGTAGTAGTAGTAGTAGTAGTAGTAGTAGTAGTAGTAGTAGTAGTAGTAGTAGTAGTAGTAGTAGTAGTAGTAGTAGTAGAAGAAGAATCACAAGAGGAACAAGAATTCTTCGACTCGTCGTCGTGAAATTTCTCCTCATCACCATCATCACCAGAATCTGACTACAGCAGGAGAAAAAGAAGGAAAAAGGTGCAACAAGCACAACAGAAGGTACAACCACACGGCGTGGTTCTAACTGCTGCTAAGTTGGCATGCCTGTTGGCATGCTTTACGCACTCCGTTTCTTGGTTCTCAATTCCCAATTCGCTTTCGAATCCTGGCTTCACGTGGCAGGGCTTCAAGTTTTTACACCCCTTTGGTGCCTCGCGGTCGGGCGCGGACCCCAAGCCTTGCGACGGAAGAGGAATCAAATAGTACTATATTGCTATTTTAATATGCTATTATGGTAAAAAACATTTTCTACTGTTATGATATCATATTCTTATATCTTTATAATTATATCATTAAATAATTGTATTCTTCTATTCCTACACTACAAAATAATGGTACCTTACTATTGTGGTATCATATTTCTGACATCATATGACAGTATTATGTTTTTGTAATACTATATCGTTATAGTATGAGACTATTATATGCACAACGGGGCTCAAAATCACTTGCTATTATTATTCTTCTTCTTTTTTTATTGTTATGATTTGACTGCAAATGTGCCATCCTGGCTGGTGGGATAGAAAAATCACTTGCTAAGGAAGGTCGGCCAAGCCTCATGGAGCAGGCCGAAGCTGGAACAGCGGTCCGACGTCGTTGCCCCATGGCTGCTGCGTCGTTCGGTGCCGGTCAGAAGGGGTTTAGGGGTTTAGCGTTTAAACTCTAGGGTTTGTTTAGGGTTTAGGGTTTGGGGTTCAGGGTTTAGGGGTTAGGGTTTAAGGTTTTAGGGTTTAGGGTTTAGGGTTTAGGGTTTAGGGTTTAGGGTAGTTTAGGGTCGGGGTGTGGAGATGTTGGGATCTGTGAGCTCTCAAGGCCGCAGGACGCTGCAACGTGTAGAAAGGCGCAGGCACCGACATGAGACGAAGCTGCCAGGATGCCAGTCGGTGTTGACAACTGATTTCGTGCCCATGATGATGTTTGTCATCAAAAACACACACACACACACACACACACACACACACACACACACACACACACACACACACACACACACACACACACACACACACACACACACACACACACACACACACACACACACACACACACACACACACACACACACACACACACACACACACACACACACACACACGACACACACACACACACACACCACACACACACACACACGACACACGACACACGACACACACACACACACACACACACACACACACACACACGACACACACACGACACACACACGACACACAATGTCTGCGAGCAATCCAGACGGGCGTTGATGCAGGGCAAGGATGGCAGCAGCCTCCACGGAGAACATCATTCGTATGCTGGGCAAGGCCATTTGACTGACATCTAGTTACAGCAAGTGGTGATACCTCCTAGGGAGCGAGCCGTCATCTCATCATGCAAGATGCCCTGGGCTTAAGGTTTTGGCTTAGGCTTGAGGGTTTAGGGTTTAAGGTTTAGGGTTTAGGGTTTAAGGTTTAAGGTTTAGCGGCGCTCCTGCTGGCTGACTGCTCTTTTCTACACTGAGTCGCGTCTGAGGTCGGGGTTTATCGGATGCCCCAACACTGCAAGCGTGAAACTATAGTAAATGATATGAAGGAGTTAATTGATGATTTTGTGTTTGTTTGTTCTGTTTCCTTCTTTTTCACGGAGTTCAGGGTTTAGGGAGTTTAGGGTGTCGGATATCTTTTTCCAATCAGGTGGAGGAAACGCTTTGCGCAGAGGAGGCACAAGCTTGGCAAATGGGTAGTTCTCAAATGTTCTCAAGATATTATGTAGTGTCGCCCCATATGATGCGGCCGTAAACCCTAAACCCTAAACCCTAAACCCTAAACCCTAAACCATCATCTTGAAACCTTCCAAGACCCGGAAGGAAGCAGAACAGCTGAGGAGGCAAGAGTGTCGACTTCAAAACCTGGCTTGGGTTTAGGGTTTAGGGCTCAGGGTTCAAGGTTTAGGGCTTAGGGTTTCGGCTTAGGATTGGGCTTTGGAGTTCGCATTGTGGATCTGTACCTTGAGGGATCAATGCAGCTTACCCAACAAACCCTAGTAAGCTCCAAACCCTAGACAATAAACCCTGTATCCTAGATCCTAAACCCCAAACCCTGATCCCTGAACCCTAAACTCTACAGGTTCTTAAGCAGCTGACACCCTGTCGGCAGCCCAAGTCGCTGGCCTGGGGGCCAGAAGAAGTAGGTCGCAGCAGGCCGGAAGGCGGCTGGAAGACCGGAAAACGTGGCAATCGCAAAGGCCACTCCCAATCTGTATAATGATAGCCCTAACCCAGGGCCCCTGCCCGAGGAGACCTGCCATGCTTACGAAATTAAGGGTTGGAGGACCGGCCCTAAATTTAAGGGTTTGGGACCGAATAGACAAGGTAAAATCAATAAGGGCCGAAACTCTAAAATTAGGGATTTGACCCTTTACTAACGCCTTGGGACCGAAAATTATAGGGTTTCGGATGTAAAGTTGAGGGCTGGGCTCCCTCAACTGCCCTTCGTCACTCCTTGGCTCCAGGAGTCGAGGCGCTTAAGTGGCACGGCTGCCCGTGCCAGCGGGCACTGCTCGGCGAAGCTGCGCCCGGCAGATCACCGGTCCGGCCTGGGGGCCCTGCCCGGGCGAGAGGTTTCATATCGAAGCGGGTCCTCCACCATCCAAGCTTCTCGCCGGACACGAGCTTCTGCGCCCACATCGGCTTCAGCGCCAAAGCTCTCGTTACTGCATGCACGGAAACAGGGACTGTGTTCTTGCCATGGCGGCTTCGCTCGGTTGTGTCCAGAGCCGCATCCTGGGATGGCCGGGCGCAAGTACGCAGTCCGAAAGCTCGGCGCTGCCAGATCGAAGAACGGGCTGCCAGTATAGCAAGATGGCTCAACGAAGGATTGTCTTGGGGACTGACTTCCTCATCAGAAAGAGGAACTCGACGGATGACGCCAGGAACCGCGCCGGCGGATGCCTGCAGCAGCCTGGGCGACAAAAAGCAAGGACAGTCGCTCGCGCGCGGCCTGTACCACGTTGCAAGACCGGAAAAAGGCCCGCATTGCGGCGCTGTGCCAAAGTGGCTTCGCCGAGGGACCTGGCCCTTTTCTTTGCTGGAGACGCAAAGAAAGCTCCGGGCGCGCGCATACGTAGCGGGCATGCGCAAGGGCCGAAGGCTCGGAGGCTTGCCTTTCATGGTCTTAAAGTTGACTGCATAAACTGTCGACCTCGTTTCTCGGGTGAGTCGATACTCGGGCCGGGAGCGCTAGGAAGCCTACTGGCACGAGGCGGGGCGGAAGTGTCTTTTGCAGAGAGCCGCCTCCTCTTCTTGCTCGCAGGAGCAGCCAGCAGCGCTCATGGCTGGACATCCCAAGCCACGTCCACGCCCCACGCTTGACTCTTCTGCGGCGCCCGCGACTTCCTCCTCGCCTTCCTCCACGTCGCATTCGTAATCCACCTCGGACATCAAGTCCAGGCCTTGCATAGAAAGGTAGGTTGCGACACTTTCGAAGCTGCTGGTAATAGTAGATTGGAGACACACCGAGGAAGCCTTCTTGGTTTACGCTCTATGACACCACCCTCATGCAGCTGTCCGAGCGTTTGTAAACCCTGCACGCAGCTTGGCAAATCCGAATCTCTGACGTGGGCTAGTGACTAGTGTCGAAAAGAAGCCGCCGAGCCTGCGGGTGACCCATTCGCAGCAAGATGCGTCAGGGCCCCCCCGAGTTTCTTGGCCAAGAGCACGGGGCTTGCGTTCAACACAGCTGTCAGAGTCTGCGGAAAAGTCTTCTGAGCGACCTTTTCCCACTGCGTTTGGGAGAATGAAGACGTGGGAACTGCTTGGAGCAATCTGTTCACTGGACTCGTCCAACAGCCCGCTCCAGAAGTCCTTGAAGAGTACCACTTCGTGCTCCGCTGGTGGCGGGTCGTCGGCCTCGGAGCACGCCACCCCGTCTGCACACAAACCTCCTGGCCATCCTTCTGGACGCCACGGAAGATGGCTCCGAAGTTTCCTTTCCCTGCCAGGTCCGGCAAAGCCAGAGAGGCCAATATGATACAGTCGACTACATCAATCATAGACCGTCTGCCTGGAACGCCGAAGCGGCAAAGAAAAAAAAAAAAACAGGCAACTTTCAAAAAAACGGGGTCTTGCGGCATACAATTATGCAAATGAGCCAAAAAAACCAGCAACTTAGCCAAAGTGGCAAGCTTACATATACATCATATTCGTGAAAGGCTCGATTTCGACAACAATTGAAGAAAAAAACTGCAGCTTCTTTGTCACTCGTGAGTGGAGAGTTTGAGTCCCTGAACTGTTTAACCACTGCACGAAGCCCAAAGCGAACATACAAAAAACATCACCGCATACGCCCTTTTACCTACGAACGCCGGTCTAAATCCGCCAAAACCCAGAACCCAAAACCGCAAGACCCCACGAAAAAAAAGAACCCACACTTAGCTCCAAAATGCTCGACTCTGAGCCCGAAGACCCAAGCTGGACCAAAAATGTATTTCGGAGGAGCGTCGGGTCAGGCAGAATAGTTTTGGGAAGCTCATGGGGTTCAGGGGCTTTACTTGCCTCACCGCAACAAAACGGGTCAATTTTCCATATTGCATGCAAGCTGTGATTCCCCTGTGTGGACGCTCCCGATTTGGCTGC